AAGAGTTCCACAATAGCCCGAAATGGAGTATAACAAAGGTTTATTTACCTGAGAATAGACTACAGAAAGAGTAGTGATCCACATTCCCCTGTTGTGTGCTGGGAACTGGAACCAAATTCAGCAGCCAAGAGACCTGCACATGCTTTTTGTCTGTATTTATAGTACATGAGATCACGCCCAAAGTGGGCTGGTATCTTAAAGGCTATTGTCTGAATGAGTTATCAGAGCACCTCCCCCTTTTGTCTAAATAAGAGAGTTCTAGGCCTAATACAAAACTATATACAATAAGAACAAATGTCAGATATTGTCTAGGGAAAAGGAGGCAAAAACATACATATAAATTAGAATTATAACCAGCATGAACAACATTAAACAAGAAACATAATAAATGTTTCAGTAGTTATCCTATCATAAGAAGGCTTAAGTCTTATATTAAAAATGGCTTGGCTAAGTCATAAGGGGAAAGTAACTATGACTATCTAGTCTTCAACCCCATCGAAGGCCTGAGAAGGGAAACAATATTACTTGAGTAAACAGGAAGTGCAATCAAGCAACTTCCAAAAGGTACAAGAAATGACAGACAACTGGGGCAATCACCCAAAGTCTCATTTGCAACACAGGGGTAACCAACTTTGGCTAAGGCCTAGAGTAAGTGATAGACCATTTTCAGAGGCAGGAAACTTTTAAAAACTGTCTTACCCTGTCTTGGCAAGGTCTGGCAGTCATTTTTCTTGTATTCTGCTTGTCCAATCTGGACACAGTACATTTTGTCAGTGGTCAAGGCATGGACAGTTCTTTGCCCAATGGCAAGTTTTGCCAAGAAGAAAACAAGCTCCAAGTGGAATGTCTTCAGTGACCAACATTCTCTTGGTTTTAGATTGGTGTGATCCTGTCTCATGTTAACAGAATCCTAAGTTATTTAAATACCATATTCTGTAGTTTTCTATACACCTAGAAAACTTAACAAACATGACTGCAAGTTTGACTATTATAAATGACTATTAATCTGTAATTTTTAGTTATACTTTGTATTTTAAATGAGCTGCACAAATACAATACCTTAAACAAGAACAGAAATATACACAGTATAACAATCAACCTTAAGTACGTATCAGTAGCCAAGATCCATACCAATACAAAGTATTCATCTTTATATCATATCCTCTTTTATTTATTTATCTATTATTTTAAGAAATTGTGACCATTTATCACTTATAATCAACCCCGTTTATATGTAAATTTACATTTGTGAACAATCATTTTGGGAATTTGGGTGTAGTCTCCAAACTGCTTTCTGCTTTTTGTTGGGTGAAGTCTTTCTAGGGTTTTTGCAAAACTTTTCGGGGGTCTTGTTCCATCAAACTACCTGGAAGGAATCCACGGGTTCTCATCTTCTGTGGAAGCAAAAGCAGAACTGCTTTTCCAAAACAACATATTCTTAGACTCAAATTTTGAAGTCAAGACACTATGTATGTGTATGTATGTATGTATGTATGTATGTATGTTGGTTTAGCTTAGTAGCCCCTAGAAACAAATATTTCTGCAATCAAAAAATTCAAAGAAAATACAACAATATGCATAATAGACTCTCTGTGTATATTCCATCTTTGTGTGACTTATTTTTCTTTACTCTTTTAATCTATGGCTGTCTGTACTCTTTTATATTATTGTTATGGTCTCTTTAAACATTTTGTTTTATTTTTTGAAACTATTTCTTTTTATGACTGTCTATACTCTTTTTCTTCTCTCTCCCAAGCCTATGTACATTTATCCAACACTGTGACCTATTCAGGGGTCATTTTCATCTGAGTCTGTCTTTATTGTATATTTGTAGTCATTTTCTGACCAGGAGTACTTTTTTTTTTCTTTAAAAACGTTAAGTGGGCGTGGTTGTGACCAACTCCACGGCCCTGTTTTTTTCCGCCCAGTCCAGCATGCTGGAGGCATGTTCACTACCAGCGCTGTGAGCTATACTCACTGCCCTAGCTCCAGGGACACAGGGGTCTGTGTCACCACCATTAAGCAACTTGCCCTCTGCTCACAAACTCCATTTAAATGCTCTATAACAGTTCCTCCCCAAAGAGCCAGAGCCATTCCGTGATGCTAACACAAAACAGGAAGCCACCTTTTAAAGAAGCTTGCAGCCAGCAAATAGAGCCCATCTGAAAAAAAAAAATGCAGCAATCAAGAAGCTGTACTTTGCTCCCTGTTTTGTGGCTCTAGAAGCTCTCATTTTTAAGCTTTCTTAGGCTTTTTTAGGTCTTATGTGGACCCATGCCAGATGGTGGGCACCAGTTTGTTGGCATACAAAAGTTTCACAATAGCCCAAAATGGAGTATAAAAAAGATTTATTTATTTGGTTATAAACTCACAGAGTAGCGATCTGCAATCCTCTGTGTGCCCTGGGAACTGGAACCAAGTTCAGCAGCCAGGAAACCAGTGCATATTTTTTTGCCTGCATTTCTAGTACATGAGACTATGCCTAAAGTGGGTTGGTATCTTAAAGGTTATTGGCTTAAGGAGTTCCCACAGCACTGGGCTGTTTGTGATCAGATTGCTTTGAGAGGTTCTGTGAGGGGCAGAACAGCTGATGTTGAAGTAGGAAAGGAGCAGGCGTCCATTCCCAGCCCCTTGTCTACTCTGTCATCATCTGTAAGTAGCAGTAACAAGGCCACTCAATGGGTGATTGTTCAAGTTTTGGTCAGTAGGACTTGTATCTCTGGCCTGTAGTTACCGTGACTGACAGAACAGCAGCTCTGTTCCAACCACTGTTCTAACTCCGCATTCGTGCATTCAACACTTAACGTTTCTGTGAAGTGAGCACTGTGAGTATTTTTCGTGAAGATGGACTGAACAGAGGTCAGGAAATTGGCTGGTAAGACATCATGAGGCAGTGAAAGAGTCACTTACAGCATAGTTGTTTAGATTTTAGTCTGTACACTTAACCCTTCCTTGTCCAACTCCACTCAGATTTTTCTGTATCTGAAAAATTAGGATATGTTGACTATAAGTTGTAAAATTAATTGAAAAGAGTGTGTCTGTGTTGTTCCATCACAAGTGTGGAGGTTGATGGTCCTTGATCTTTGGGTTGGTTGAGTTAGTGCTCAGCAGTGTGACAGAGTCCAAGTCTCTCATTCTTCTGCTCTTTTGTCCCCACAGCTGGGATTTGTCAGGATTGTCTTTTTGTGATTAGGCAATTGTCACAGATCCTGTTGTTCTATACTCAAGAGAGGCTGAACAAGATGGTCTGGTTTTCTGTTTGGTTGGTTTTGTTTTGAGGTAAAAGTACCAGAAGGGCAGGTCTCACTGTGTAGCCTTATCTGTTCTGGAACTCACTATATAGACCAGGCTGGCCTGAAATTCATAGAAATCTGCTTGATTCTGCCCCCAGAATGCTGTTGTTTTCCAACTAGTCCATATTTAAGAGCAAAACTGTTGCAGAAGCACATTTGCTTGCAGACTTTGAAAAGTACTTGATTTATTCATTCATCAGTGGCTGCCATGAACTGAGATTCATCTTCCAAGATGGAGAAGGCCTGAAACTCAAACTCTCTGGATACATGAGTGTTTGGGTACCTTGAGTAAAAAGGTAGACAGCAGGAACAGCTGGCAGTTTTCCACTGACAGGTTGGCCATACTCTTGTTCTTTTGGTTTGGCAATGAGACCTTTTATCCTGAAGGAGTAATAGACAGCGCTCTTAACTGACCTTGTTTTACTCTAGACTAAATGATCTTTGCTTTCTTCTCATAGGCACAAGGATACATGGTAAACATTTAGTGATTATTTGCTCCTAAATTGATCTTGGTCCTCTTAGTCTTCTGAGAGGGAGGCTTAAGTTTCTGCATCATTTGTCTCTGATAGACATTCTTAGCTCTGACCTAATGCTAGTCCTGTCCTCTGCTACTTTACCTTTCCAACCTGTACAATGGACAGGTACATTTTCTATCAGGTGACTGCATTGTTAATGTTCATAACTATCCCATCCTGAGACATGGTGAACATTTAGGCTCCATAGGTACCAGTATTCTGGGAGCTTAGCCAGCTCAGATGTGAAGGTTTAAGGAGCCACACACACTTTATTTTTCATAGAATCAGGAACAAGTGTCTGTGTCTTCTGGTTAGCTTTTCTGGGTGGGTCATAGCCACACCCAAGAAGGATAACTAATCTGCATATTTTCCTTAGCAGGGCCACATGTGGTTGCATTTTGATAATGTTGGTGGGATTGACAGAATGAATACTCACAGCAGCCACATGGAAGTGGTAATAGAGATATGCCCTGCTTAAAGAAAGTCTGACCATATAAGGAGGAGCATTGCAATTAGAGAATAGTATCTCGCTTAGCCAGAAATTCATGGCAGGTTTCCTAGTACATTTAAAATAGGATTCATGTATAAAAATACCATTTGTGTACAGGAACCCATATTTTCTGGAAAGAAAAATATATTTGTATTGGGCATTTGGGATAAAGTAGAGCAAAATTAAAAATAAAATCTTAAAAATATAAGAACAAGGAACCAAATTCTACTTTTAATTGTAAAAGTGTGTGTTTGTGTGCATGTATACTTTAACTCCCCATCTCCACAAGATTTCTATGGCAGAAATAGAAGCAGGATCTGTAGGCATTGCATAGTAACAGAGGAATTTACCAGTAGATCATGGGAGTAGCTAAAACAGGTAGGTCTGGTATACCCACTGTAGGGTAGTACCAGAGTAGCTACACCCATGGTGTGTCTACCACATGTATAGTGTCACTTACTTGCCTTGGTGTGTTTTGTTTGATTTGAAGTTATTTATGAGGCCTGGCCTTAAAACAGTCTGCTGGATCTCTTCCCATGGTGTGGTTAATGAGTGGTGGTTGAGAGATGGATCAACCTATCCTACCACCACAGATATCTCTAACCACAAAGGCCATGCTGAGGTCTAACAGATGAGATAAAGAAAAGCCTGCAAGAGAGGGGCAGGTCTGGAGTTACTGACATGCTCATTTCTCCCTTTCAGAAATGCTCCCACTGCCAGGAGGCTGGCGCTACCTTGGGCTGCTACAACAAAGGCTGCTCCTTCCGATACCATTACCCATGTGCCATTGACGCAGGTAAGTTGGGATCACACACACTTCTGATTTCTAAGGTTCAGATGTTGCAGCATGTGATAGCACTTCATTCATTTTCACTGCCTAACGATTTATTGCTGTGTTGGATTTACCTTTTATCAGTTGATGAACATGGGGTTTGTTTTCAGTTTTCACTTGTGTGTCATGCTGCCACAGAAAAGTCACACACAAGCCTTTGTATGATCATAGGATTTCAGTTCTCTTTGCATGTTAACTCCATGTTTAACCTTTGGATAACTGCCATATGGTTTTCCAAAGTATTACATTCGAACCAGCAATGTATTAGGGTTCCAATTTCCCAAAATCTTTACCAACCATACTTAGGTGTCTTTATTATCACTATAGACATCCCGATGGGTATGAAATGCTGTGTTGCTGTTGATTAATTTTGTACATATCTATTAATGTTAAGCATCTATGTATTTATTGTCCATTTGTACAGCTTCTATCGAGAAGTGTCTATTCCAGTTTTTTTGCCCACTGTTAAATTATTTTATTCTTTTTACTGTAAAGTATTAAGAATTCTAAGCCCCCCTTACCAAATACATGGATTGCAAATATTTTCTTTCATTTCTTTTCACCTTTCTGAAGGTGTTTTTTGAAACAAGGTCTCATGTAGCCCAAGTGGCTTCAAACTTGCTTATGTAGTCAAGGATGATCTTGAACTCCTGATGCCCTACCTCTACTTCCCTAGTGCTGAGATTACAGGTGTACACCACCATGCCTAATTTACATAATACTGAGCATGGAACCCAGGACATCATGTATGCTAGATAAGCACTCTACCAACTGAGATAGACCCCCAGGAAAAGTTGGCTCTTGATAAAGTCTAATTCATCTTATTATTTCTTTTGTTAACATCCTAAAGTAATAAACACCTAATCCAAAGTGGGGTTTTGGTGATCTTTTTCCTAAGAGTTTTAAAACTTTAGTTCTTTTATTTTAGTATTTGACTGTTTTGCGGAATAACAACAATTCAGATCTGTTTTTTGTGAGCAGTTATCTAGTTGTCCTACTTCAGTTTACAGAAATGACCATTCTTCTGTCATTGAATTTTGTCATTTTGTTGAAAATCACTTAACCACTGTGCTTGAACTTATTTCTTGATTCTATCCAATATTCCACTATCATGATTACTATAGCTTTGCAGTAGGTTTTGAAATTGGGAATGGTAGAATGCTTGCTTTGGCATGTTTGGTCTCCAAGTATGCTCGCTCCTCCTCCAAAAAAATAGGAACAAGAAAATTGGAAAATTTGTGCCTTATTTTCCTCCCAAGATTGTTTTCACTATTTTAGGTACTTCTTTGTTCCATTTGAAATTCATGATAAACTTACACGTTTCTGTGAAAAAGAAACTATTAAAATTTTGATAGGAATTTCACTGAATCTGTAGATGAATTGGAAAACACTATTATTAAAAAGTAGATGGAAAGAAACAGTACTGAGCAAAGTAACCCAGACAAATACTACACATTTCTCTCATTCAGATCTTAGATTCTAATTTTTATAGTGTGTGTTCGTGTGTGGGGGTGTGGGTGTGAATGTAGGTCACAAAATTAAAAAGGGGACTGTGAATGGAGAAGTGGTTTTAGCAGGGAGGAAAAAGGAATCATAGAATACATGTGACGTGAAAACGGAGTACTGGTTACTGAGGGGAAAAATAAAACAGATGGGGTACAGGAACAGGGGAGAGTTAACAAAAATAATTTTGGGGGCTGGAGAGATGGCTCAGAGGTTTAGAGCACTGGATGTTCTTTCAGAAGACCCAACATCCACATGGCAGCTCAAAACTCACTGTAGCTCCAGTTTCAGGGGATCTGAAAGCCTCACACGGACATGTGTGCAGGAAAAACACTAATGGCATATAAAATAAAAATAATAATTTTTTTTTAAAAAAAGGAAGTGCTATAATGGAATTTGTTTGTTTTATGGGGAGTTGTAGGTGCACTAGAGTGACAGATCCTCTATCATGCTCCACTTCATTCCCTTGAGACAAGGTTTCACTGAACTTGGAGCTCATCATTTTGTTTGTTTTGAGCTGGGCTGGATCCTCTGGTCTCTGTTTCCCGTTCCCCCAGCATTGGGATTACATACTTGGTGTCCTAGTTAAGTTTCTCTGTTGCTGTGATCACACTGACCAAAAACAACCTGTGGAAGGAAAGGGTCTGTTTCATTTTACAACTCTGAGATCATGGACCATTGCTAAAGAATGTCAGGACAAGAACCTGGAGGCAGGAACTGAAGCTCAGACTACAGAGGAATGCTGTGTACTGGTTTGCTTTTAATGTCTTGATCAGTTTTCTTTTTCTTTCTTTTCCTTTTTTTTTCTTTTCAACTTATTACTTTATATGTATGCATGTTTGCATGTATGTGCACCGTGTGCCTATCTGATGCCTTTGGAGGTCAGAACTGGGTATTGGATTCCTGAAACTTGATTTACAGATGGTTGTAAGCCACCAGGTGGGTGCTGGGAATTGCAGTCAGTGCTCTTAACCACTGAGCCATCTGACCTCCTTAACTTACTTTCTTATATAACTCAGGACCACTTGTCCAGGAGTGGCACTGTCTACAGAGGGTTGGGCCCGTCAAAACCAGTCAGTCGTTAGTCAAGAAAATGCTCCACAGACACACCCAGAGGCCAGTCTTATGAGTCAGTTTCCCAAATTAAGTTTCTCCTTCCCAGGTAACTATTTGTATTGAGTCAACATCCTCTATGTCCTTCTTTTCCTTCTATGTCTTTTCTCCAAGTTTCTATTAGAGGCACTAAAAAGGAAAAGAATTGTATAGAGGTTTTTAAAAATGTTGAATATAGGCGTTTGTGTGCAATTACTTTATGGGCATGGCATTGACTATAGGGATAGGTAGGAAGGAAGTAAAGAACCTTGAACCATTGTTTTATGGGATTTGGGTTTTGGACTTTTGTTTTCCTTTCTCCTTCCTTATACCTCTACTTGTACTTTTTTCTTTCTCCTCCCTATTTGTTTTCTTGAGATATGATCTCACGTAGCCCATGTTCACTTCAAATTCACTATGTGACCGGGAATAACCTTGAACTGATCCTACTGTCTGCTCCTAAGTGCTGAGGTTGTAGGCATGTACCTTCACAATTGACCTCATTCTCCCTGCTAGTACGTTTTCATGTTGTTTCAGCTATTCACCCTAACTTGTGCTTAGACTGTTAAATCTTTTTAAAGTCAAGCAGTTCCTTTTCTTTATTATATTCATTGCTTGTAGTTACATGAGAATATCTGGTTTTCTTTACTTGAAGCTTCTCTTAAATGAGAATTCTGAAGTGTATGGTTTTGAATGAGGGAGTTATGCAGTAATTGACTGTCCCAGTCAGTGCCTGGTCTCCCACGCAAAGACTGTTCAGCAACAGAAGCTTGTACACTTTGACAGGTAACCCCTTCGACTTTCAGCATGCCTCATGTTTACCCTTAAATATCAGCTGTGATGGCAGCAAGGTTTGCAACAGCAAGGGCCTTAGAATGCTGCTTCCAGCTCCCAGTCTATTTCTGTCTATTTCCTGGTACAGTTTCTCAGGGGTAAAGCATATTGTTCACTGGAATGTTCCACAGTAATAGAAATGCTGTAGACCTTTCTGCTCAGGGGTGGAGGTGGGGTGGAATGGTAGCTTCACCCATATGTGACCATTGAGTACTTGAAATGTGGATAATGGGACTAAGGAAACTGTGTGTGTGTGAGAGAGAGGGGGAATGTTAATCTATCAAAAAATTGGGAGTCAAAATACTAAGTTAAGAACTTGAAAGATCAGAGAACAGGGAGCAGCTGCCAGTTGCTTCCTACCTCTTTTTTTCCTCTGTCCAAAAGGGCTGAGATCCTTTCTCAAAAAGGATCCTTCTGAGATCTCAGAAAGGATCTCAGCCCTGCTTTACCACTTCCTGTTTCCTCTCTCTACAGTCCTTCAACAGCTAGTGGCTAGTTCTGCCCTCTGACTCCAAGAAAGGTTTCTTTTTTTCTTTTTTTGCCAGAATACAATCAAAATATCACACATTTCCCCATTTTTGTCTAAATAAAAAGTGAAGGTTTTAGCTAACATACTAAAACCATATATAAGTACAGTAATTATATACACATATATAGGCAATGATTACTTTTACATGTCTAGTACATTTGCATTTGACAAATCCAGAGAAAATGCTCCATTTCTATCCTTTCTTGGTGAGTCCAAAGTGTTGTACCTAATTCACTTCCTATCCTAACTTGCATTACCAACCCAAAACTATCTTCTTTTAAATGTCTTTCAATCATATACCCTTTATACCTCTTTTGTGAGTTTCTTTTCTGAATTTATTAACATGGAAAACTATTAATTGTTTAGTCTTTAACTTGACATCAGAGACTTGAAAGTGATGTAATATTACCCAAGTAAAGAAGAAATGCTCAACATCAACTCCCAAATTGAAGAAATGATAGAAATAGCTGGCTGCCTGGACATTCACCAAGGTTTCTCTGTAACGTTGGGGCATGTATCTTTGGCCTGCAAGCCTAGAATATTTGACACTTTTCTGTGACGCAAGATTTTTGAAGTACTGTTCTGCTTTTTCTTGGCAAAGTTTGACACTTTTGTGTTGTGCTTGTCCAATTTAGACAGCATACCTTCAGCTTGAAACAGGGGCAGTTTCTTGTCCAGTGGCTACGAAGACGTAAACTCCATATGGAGTTTCTTCAGTGCTACCATCTTCTCTGAAATAGATTGGTGCTGCCAGGAGCAGACATGTCTTATTGTCATTTAAAAAAAAGATTTGCATGTTATTAAAACATCTTAAATGTTGTATTCTGTAGGTCTCTGAAGTGTTTGAAAATTACCTGTCTACCTAAAATATGTCTGTTTGACCTTGAAAACATACCTAATGTGACTACAAGTTTGATTGTTATAGGTGACTAACTACTAGCCTGCATTTCTTTATTATCCTTAATAATTTGTGATAATACCTTTCCAGGACTAGAAATTTGCATTA